ATGGAAAGTTTTTTGTTTTTTTTTTAAAGCTGGGCGAGGTGGCACACACCTATATTCCCAGTGCTCGGGGAGGCAGAGACAGGTGAATCTCTGAGTTTGAGGCCAGCCTGATCTACAAAGCAAGTCCAGGACAGGCATGGCTACACAGAGAAACCCTGTCTGAAAAAGCAAAAACAAAACAAAAATTCTTAAATTTCCCCCAGGCCTATGGTGTCTTAATTATAGAGACTTATTAAAAGTATGACAAAGTAGAGACTGAACTGGAAAAAAAAAATCTCAATTTGGATCTAAGGGCAAGACTAGGTATTTAAATGTGTCTCTTGTTAATCTTGCTGAATGTTAACGTAATGTTGGTTAACACACTTAAAATGAAAGACACTCATTCATTTGACAGCATATACAAAATAAAATAAACTTGTAAAGTTTTGGGAAAACCACTTCACACATTTAATGGACCTATGGTAAGTTACACTAAAATACAAGAAGATAAATATACTGAATGTAAACTATAGAGAGCCAGGAGGTGGGACAAATTTTTAATCTCAGCACTCAGGGAGGCAGAGGCAGGCAGATCTCTGTGAATTCAAGGCCAGCCTGGTCTACAGAGCAAATTCCAGGATGGCCAGGGGCTACACAAAGAAAGCCTGCCTTGAAAGCAAAGCAAAACAAAAAAAGGTAAGAGACTAGGGGGCTGGAGAGAGGACTTGGTGGTTAAGATCACATAACTGCTCTTGGAGGGGAGCAAGCTTGGTACCCAACACCCACATCAGGCAGCTCGGGATCTCCTCAAACTCCACTCGGGGGGACCCTACTTCTCTGATCTCCACAGGCCCCTGCTGTACATGTATTCACAAAATGGATCTCTAAAAACAATGAAAAAGCCCTGAGGTTAGCATCCTGGTCCTCTACTGTCAAACTGTACAACTTCAACACCTTAACTTTCTTTGAATGTAAGACAGGATTATAAGAACCAAAATTCAGACAGCCCCTGTGGAGTCTGATGTAAGAGGAGTGTTCCAAGCCAGCCTGGGTTACTCTGAGTTTCGGGCTGTCCTGGGCTATGTGTCAAAAACAAGGCGGGGCTGGAGAAAGGGCTTGGTAGTTAAGAGCACTTGCAGTTCTTGGAGAGAGCAGGGACTCAGCTTCTACGGCACACTTGGTGGCTCACAACCATCTGTAACACCAGTTCCAGGGGATCTGATGGCAGCTCCTGACCTCGGTGGGCACCAGGCAGGCATGAGGTGCACACACACACACACACACATGCAGGCGAAACAATCGTACACAAGTGTCTTCAAACGTTTAACAGGACATGAGTGTGCACACAGGTTAACAGAGCAAAACGCGGAGTTTTACATCTCTAGATCTCTTTCATTCTTTACCCTAACATCACCTGCTTTGGCTTTACATAGATGCTGCATATCTGGCTTATGTAACCGGTACTCTTGATTGGTTTCAACTTTGAATTTTTCCTTTAGGGACAATAGGAGAGGACACATGGTTTGAACAGGGTCTCCCTCTACAGCTCAGGCTGGCCTGAAACTCCCTCTGTAAAGCAGAATGATTTGTGCCACTAGGCTCTGTTTAACGTAAAAGCTTCTCTGTATCTCTGGCTCTGAGAGTAACATATAAAGCTTGTGGCCTCTGATCTCAACAGTCAAAAGGATAGACACTGTGGCACATGCCTGGAATCCCAGCACTCAAAAGACAGAAGAGGAACACTGCAAGTTCCAGGTCAATTTGGGCTAAATACTGAGAACCTGTCTCAAACAGAACAAAACAAAATATAGGCTGGGGGGACTGTAGTTCTTGTGGGTCTTGTGCTGGGTCCCCAGTACCACAAAGACAAAATCACTCCAAGAGAACATTAAAACACTACCCAGGAAGAGGTTCTAACACATCAAGAATGCTGAGATATAAGTGTCTCTCATCTGGGGCGAGGCAACACATATATTAGTCAGATCACCAGCTGAAATTAGCTATTTTTTTCGTACATATTTCCCGAACTCATAAGAATTCTCATTCTGCAATAACGTACTTAGAAATAATCAGCCCCTTATAAAGGATTTTCTTAGTTCTAAGGATTTTTCTGTTGTTTTTATTTTGAGACAGAATTTCCCCATGTATCCCTGAGTGTCCTGGAACTCTTTTATATACACACTAGCCTGGCCTCAAATTCACAGAGATCAGCCTGCCTCTGACTCTTGAGTGCTGGCTGGACTTAAGGGTGTGCAAATGATAGCCTGGCAATTTTGAGGGCGTAAAACTTTATGAAACAAACAGGGTGGTGTGGTGATTGCCTTTAATCTTCGGGCAGAGGTAGAGGCAGGATGATCTTTGGGTTCGAGGCCAGCCTGGTCTACAGAGCAAAGTTCCGGGACAGCCAGGGCCACACACACACACACACACACACACACACACACACACACACACACAACAAACAAACCACACACACACACAAAAAAAAAACCCGTCTTGAAAACAAAAACAAAATAACCTGCCAAACAAAAATCATAAAGCAGAGTATGGTGGAGTGTGATCCTAGCACTTGGGAGGTAGAAAATCACCTCAAGGTCACAGGCTACAGGAGACCCCATTAAGAAAAAACAAACAAACAAAAAATTAAGTATTTGAAAATAACAAACAGCAATGTAGTTTTAAACAAATGGCAGTTAAGTCTTTCCCAATGATCATTCCATAGCTTAAAAGGGAAAAGCAAATTGGTAAAGGGCTCGCTTCAGTTCATAAGGTTCTTCCCCACTACCCCACTCAAATCGTCATCATTTAGGACTCTTTTGGGTGCCCCTAAACTGCCAGGAGTCTGGTTAGTAACTTGAATGGTAAGGACTTTACAGTAGCGCTGAATTTGAAACCAACATAAATTAATCTTTTTTGGGACTCTACTTTAGAGCAACACTCTAAAGTATTAGACTCTCTATTGTCCTGCATAAGTAATTTTATTATGTTTCTCCTCCGCCTCACAGTCCCATTAAGTTACACATTAAAATTCTAATGTATCCAGTGACTTCAATTTTCTCCACTCCTCACTGCAACTTAGTACTGTTAAGTCTGAATTTAAATTTTCTTCCCAGCTGTCCTACCTCGATCTTTCTTTTGTAACTAAATGTTTCTTTCTCATACCCTTAAAAACCACAAAGACTGAACAGAGGTTTCTACCCTAGGTAAGACTTTCTTTTCACCCCAAGCCCACGAACTTGTCTCATTTTCATCTTTTTAAAAGGAGCTGAAAGAAAACAATGAGTGTTTAGAATACAAAGAGAGAGGCGGGAGGTGGGGGGGGGGGGGCGGAGAGGAAAAAACACGAAGCGCGATGTACAGTGAGAGCCTGGAGTGACCCCAGGTCAGCCTGAGCCCCTGCCAGAAAAGGCCAGGTAACATTTGCCCGTGTTGTCTAAGTTTCTTTGTCTCTCAGCCTACAACGAATCTTCTTGCACACAGCTATACTATTGTATTTCACCAGTAGTTACAATACTTCCCAGAGCAATCCCTTTCCCCTTGAAGAGCTTTCTGACGACCCACGGTTCAATTCCAAGACTACAAACCTCCCTTTCCAGAGGACAAACTTAAGACTAAAAAGAGGAATAGGATTCTCCGAAGGCCCTCGGACCTTCCTCGCATTTCCCCGAACAGAAACCCAAGTTGCCAGTAACAATGAACCACGAAAAGTGTAGCCTAAACGGGGAAGAGGAAGTATTGGAACAGTATCCAAGCAGCGCCTCCCGGTCGCCTCGATCATCCCAGTTTACCCACCCCCAACTTCCTATTCCCACGGAGGACTCATCGATTCCCGCCCGGGAGGCGATAAAACGGATCACGCGAAGGCGGCAGGCGAGGGCCAGCCGGGGAAGCGGGTGCGTGGTGGAAGGAGGCTAGCCAAGGGCTGGGCAAAGAATGGGAAGATGGGTGTGATGGGGGGAGGAGGGATGGAGGGCGCCAGGGCTAATCCCGACCCGAGGCCCGCGGCTGGAAGGGGCGGCGGGCGGACCTCCCCCCCCGGAGGGCGAGCGATCGGGTGCGCGGGGCGCTCGGGTCGCGAGCAGGGGAGGCCGCCGGGGGCGGGTGGCGGGCCGCACCGGGGAGGCGGCTCCGGGAAGGGCGACTGTTTGGGGTCCCGGCCGCCCGAGACCCCCTCCGAGCTCACACCTCAAACCTGCTCTTGGTCACTCCGTTCACGTCCCTCCTCATGGGGCCAGCGGGGTGCGGCCCGGGCAGGGCGCGCTCGCTGCGGCGTGCGGAGTGCAAAGACAGGGGCCAGGGCAAGGCCCGGGAGTTCCGGGAGCGGGAGGCGGCGGCGGCGGCCAGCCGAGGCCCGCCCGCCCGCCCGTCCGTCCGTCCGCCGAGGAGAAGCCGGCTCGGGCCCCGCGGGGGAGGGGGGCGGGGAGGGAGGGGGCTCCACCACCGCCCGCGGCGTCCGCGGCCGCGACGGCTGCCAGTCGCTAGCTCGGTCCTCTCCAGAGCCTCAACTTCAACCCAAAACAAAAACACTCCCCACCTGCCAGCAACGCCGCTCCTCATTGGGCAGAGCCGCCGGGGCCTCGGCACGCCGGGGGAGGGGAGGAGCGCTCGGCGGCGGCGGCGCGAGCGCGCCCCTCCCCCACCGCCCGCCCGCCGCGACGGTGAGCCCGCGAGCGAGCGAGCGAGCCGGGACGCGGGGCGGCGCGGCGCGGGCCCGTCAGGACGAGGAGCGAGGCCGGAAAGCGCCCGAGCTGTGCGTGTGTCTGTGTGTGTGTGTGTGTGGGGGGGGGGCGCGGGGCGGGGGCGAGCGCGCGCGTGCTCGCGCACCGACGACGGGGAGCGCAGAGCCGGGGCCGGACATCGCCGGGCCTCCCGCCCCCCCACGCCGCCTCTCCGGGAGCCGCTGGCGCCCGCCGACCCGCGCGGGGAGCCTGAGCGCACGGCCCAGCGGCCCCCAGCCCTGACCTGGTCGCTCGCCCGGCGGCCCGAGCTGCCCCCCCTCACCCCCGTCCTCTGTCACTCACTGTCGCCTTGAACCCAAAGTGCAGCAGGCGGTCCCTGCTCGGAGCCATTTTCCTCGTCTTTCTAGACGTCTCTAGGTTGGGGCAGCGCCGCCGCCGCCGCCTCCCCCGCCCCGGTGAATTGCATTCCGGGGTGCTGCGGGGCGGCCGCCTCTCTCGGCCTGGCTCCGGGAGGCGCCGAGGGGCGGGCCCGGCGGCCGGCTCTGCACGGCGGCTGGCGGCGAGGATGGCACCGGGGGGTCGGGGGGTGCAGTGCCCCAGCCGGGCACCCACTGCTTGGGCCGGGGGGGGGGCCCGCGGCGGTGGGGGTGGGGGCCGGCCGGGCGCTGGGCCCTCGGCTTCCCCGCCCCTCCGGCCGCTGGCGCCCAATGGGCTGAGGTGGCTGCCCACGCTCCAATCAGGGCCCTGCTTGGTGAGAGCTTCGGCCTGACGCCATTTCGGCGGGAGAAACAAGCGTGGAGGAGCGAGTAGGCGGGGGCGTTTGCCCACACCAAACTGTGACTTTCATAGGCTTAGGCTCCTAGCCTGGAAGCTGGTGTGTGTCATCTTATTATTTATATGAGCTCCAGCTTTCAAGACTCCTAAATCTATAACCTGTTTTCCACGAATTATGAAACAACCGAGAGTGAAATTGCTCCTTCAAAGAGAAACAAATCACAATATAACCAAGCCTGAAATATTAAAATCATGAATCCCAGCCATCCTCAATTCTGCGCAATTCTGCTTCTGATTGTATACTCAAAGCAGTTTGTCCTCAGAGCCTTTATAGCTAGTTTTAATCAGAACCCGACCAAGGTGAACATTTAAAGAGCAAAAAGTGCTGCAAACTTTTTTTCCCCCCAGAGCTGAGGACCAAACCCTGGGCCTTGCGCTTGCCTAGCGCTCTATAACTGAGCTAAATCCCCAACCCCAAGTGCTGCAAACCTTTAAAAAAATTTTTTTAAGTTACTTTTTGTCCTTAAAAGTACTTTCTTTTCTTTTTTCTATTTTGAGGCAGAGTTTGCATAGCCCTGGCTGTCCTCGAACTCTGCGTCCCCAATTCCAGCATTAAAGGCATTTATTTGTACCACATCTGGCCAAACTTTTCCCTCCCCCCCCCACCTTAAAGCAGCATTCCTAAACACACTAGCTTCAAATAACTCAGTTCTTGGGCCCACAAAAACCTAGGTCCACACGTTACATTCTCATTGAGTCCCACATGCTTTTAAGCACTTGCTTCAGCCTGTGAAAAACTGCAAAGATCAGTGGCCTCCAAAAGCTGTTTTCTCCCAGCAAGAATGTGTAACAGCTGCAAAAATCAGGAAAAAGTGAGAAAGCGGGCAGAGACAAATATGTAAAGATAAAAATAAAACCCGTGGCATGGTCCTACCAACTTTGCATTGCTGAGGGCCCATTTAGAATAGTACACAGGGAAGCTATTGGTTTCTAATTAGGATTTTTGACAGGATCAATAAATGAAAATATTCATAGGATAAAGTTTTATGGTGATGATTCGTACCTGTAACCCCAGCAGTCTGGAGGCAGGAGCGGTAAGGAATGCTTGAGTTCAGGATCATACTGGGCTGGCTAGAGACATTGTCACAAAGATAAAAATCACAAACAAAAGCCCATAAATCCAGTACCTGGGGAGGGAAGACAAGCCAAAGAGTTCAAAGCCAGGCTTAGCTACACAGAAAGTTAAACCTCATCTCAAAAACAGTCCAGCCTGATTTACATAGTCAATTCCAGGACAGCCAGGGATGCATAGTGAGAACCTGTCTTTAACCAAAAAACCAAACCAAACAACCCAAAACCACAAACAACAAAAACCTACACAGAGACATATTACTTTTTATCAAAGAAATTTTATTTGTGTGTAAAGAAAGTTTTATTTTTGTATTGTTTTAGGGGGAAAAAATCCCACAGATTTTGTCTACTTTCAAAAAATGAAAAAAAAAAATATTTACAAAACAGCCATACACAGAAAATCAAATTAAGAAATACTTTTAAGGAAAAGACCCTTCCCACTGCTCCTGATGTACATTTTTAAACTCAAAATTTAAATCTCAGCTCTACAGCTGAACATGTTTCCCAACCTAGTTTCTAAGATAATACTTCCTGCCCCTCCAAAAATTAACTTCAAGACAAAGAGTTGGGGGGCAAGGCTAAAGATGAATATACAATAGAATATATGATTACCCAGGGATCCTGAATGTTTTCTATACTGACATCTGCTGTGATCAAGGTGACTCACTGGCTCTTCTGAAAATTCATGATATTGCTAGTGGCCTGACAAAAGGAAAATCCGATTCAAGAGTCATCAACTTCAAGCTGGCTTTGGCAATTACATCAGGTCCCCTTCTTCACCTTGAAAACACTTGTTTTAAGATACACTGAATTTGAATCTGAAATATTGTACATCAGAGCAGATTTTGTCCAGAGACCCTTAACATGAAGCCAAAAGACAGAAGAATCAGGTCAAACTGAAAATACATAAACTCCAGCGGCAGCAAATGGGTAGCAGCTGACTTCATGTCCTTGCCGTCTTTTCAAACAGGAGACTGTACACCTGGATGGGAGGGAGGCGTCCTGGGGTGGCTTATGCTGCCTCTTCTCCTCCACCCTGTGGAGAAATGCAGTGCTCCCTGGTTCCCAGGCAGGGCGAAGCAGTTTAGCCCGGCTCCCTGTTAAGCAAGTTCAGATGCTGGGTCATTGGGTGGGGCGTGCCCATCGACAATTCAGGGGCTTATCCTTCATCCAGATCCTAACTCGGGATTCTTTGATCTGGGATGAAGACAGAAAGAGAGAAAAAGCTTCCCAGTTTACTCATTTTGGTATTTGTTGGCTCTGCTTGGGGGGACTGAGCCCCTTATACTATGTAGTACATTTCCCCATGAGACTTTCCCCACCCAGAACAAACTGAAACACTATATAACTTTAACTTTTCCTGCAGAAACTAAGAGCATAGGATTCAGAACCAGGTGGCAAACTTCTGAGAAATCCAACCCAGCTGTGTATCTGAGACAACGCACGGCTTCTGTGTCAGTACAAGAGAAAGCACTCCACTATCACCCAGTATTCGTGTCACCTAAGACACTGGGCTCTGACAGGGTAACAGGTAACTTTTCTTGCTCCACTTTGCAATGTTTTGTTTCCTATTTATTGCCTCGGGACACAGACATGGCAGAGTTGTTGAGAACCGATGATCAGAAAAGGGAGAACACCAAAGGAAACAGAAACAGTCAGGAAAGAAAGCCACAGTAGATTTTCCAAGTCTATGCTAACTCCAACCTGCAGAGTGTTGGATACTGAAATCGTCCGTATCTGATGAAGTCACTCCACTTATAACACGTACAAACATGAATCACCTGGCTTTTTTTTTTTTTTTTTTCCTTTTTGTAATCCAGTAGAGTTGTGCTGGGATTATGCCCCATCCCGCTGATACAGATCCTGAACGGAATCATCAGGAATGGCACAGTGCAGGTGGCAAAATCAAAGTAAGGCCGCAGATTTTTGAGAGGACCCTCCAAATACTGAGAACTTCGGTTGCACTCAAAATGGTCTCCTGGATTTCTACATTTATGAGAAGGGCTTCTTTTTATGTCCCTCAGAATCCAGACTCAGACCTGTTTCTCCAAAAATGTCCAATTGTGTGCTACACAGTAGCAAGGTTTATCTTCATGCTCACTTAGCATTCCAGGCCCCTAATTAAGTCAAGTGAGCTTGAAATTGTTTTAAGTGAACTATGGCTGCTTTTTAAAAAAAAAAAAAAAAACTTTATCTCGGGGAGCATACAGTGGAGCATTTAAGTCTGAACTCCTTCTTATGATGAGAGAAATGAGAGTCCAGCTCTTAGGAATGGCATTAGCTCTCCTGCAAACAAAATGCTGGGATGTAGACTTTTGGCACATTGTGGAACTAGGAGAACTATTAATTCTGTAATGTTTTTTATACCATTGGGTATAGAATCTGAAAACATATTTATACCCCAGAAAGCCACCCTTCCTTTTGAATGAAAAAAGGTAAGTCCTTTAACTGCATAGGGACGTCATTTCTAATATTCCTATGATGTCTGAACCCTGTGAAAAACCTCCAGAGATAATAGTTTTGGTTTTTCTATTTAACTCCAGAGACAGGCTCCGGTTAGCCTCTGTGGGCGTGCTGCTGCAGCACCTGCAAGAGCAGCAAGCTCCCCACTGCCAAGCAAACCTTGCCCGTCCTGTCCTGCCTCCTATCGCTATGAACCATAACCTTCATAGATTTAGGAACAAACATTGCATAAAAACAAACATTAAAGATTAAAATATTACAAATAAATAGCTAAAATAATTTTCCCTCCCCCAATCACTCCTAAGAAACAGACACCAAACACTGCTTTAAGTGTCCAAAACTGCCACAGTCCTTCCCTTGCCCATGCTTCAAATGGACAACTACCAAAGGTGAACAACCTTCATGCGAACGCATCAAGGAATGTATTGCTTTTTCATTTTCTGCCCAGCCCTTCAAATACATGCACTAAAATGAGTTTAAAGCATGTCCTGAAAATGGAAAAGGGGAGAAAAAATATATATGAATATTTCCCACAGCAGTTTCCCCACCCTTCCCTCTCTATACCCTTTCCCACCACCCCCTCCCTTTCTTAAGCAAGTAGTTTTTTTTAACATTTCTTTCTGGCAAAGAAATATGACTTGTTGTTGAACAACCAACCCCATGGTCCCTGTCGTAGGGTCTAGATATGCTTTCATGAATGTACCCAGCTTGGTATAGAGGCCATGCCTGTTAAGATTCTTAAGCACACATCAGGCCTGTCTAACTCACCCCTTGTGTTGGTTTACATGTAAATGCATCATTAGTTTCTTCTCTGGACATAATTTAGAAAATAAGGTTAGTTGCCAATCAGGGCCACATCCATAAGATCATCATCTTCCTCCCCAATCATAAAGTCAGGGCTGAGCCTAGAAGGCCTGTCTGCAGGTAAGATAGGATTATTTGTCATAGACAACGTCTGATCAGATGAAATGGGAGATTTAGACCAATTCTCTGGCTTGATGCTGTGAGACTTTTTCTTGTCTCTGTCTTTGTCTCGGTCTCTGTCTTTGTCTTTTACTTTCTTCTTTTCCTTTTTGTGCTTCTTATGCTTCTCTGTGCTGTACTCTGGAAGTGGCCGGACACCATCATCTGAGCTGGGACTGTTCTGGTAGGATTTCTCTGCTATGGAGGACCCTGACTCACTTTCACTGTCCACATTCTGGGGTGTATATGCTGGTGACTTACT